GATCAAGTGTAGTATATGTTCCCCCCCTGCGAACCCACCAAACCCTGCAACCTCAACAGGTCTCTCGGAGGTAACTCCCGTGCAAATGTAGAAAGCAAAAAAAAAACAACAGAAAAAAAGACAGTCTTTCCAAGGCTGTCTGACCTCCAGCAGTAATGCATTGACTTAGTGAACAGGAGTACACAGGTGCGCCAAATCCCCCCCGACCCTGCCACCCCTCTCCCCCTGCAAATCCCCCCTTCCGCGTTTTTGCTTTTTGCCCTTCATAATTTTTAAGAGCGAGCAGGATCAGGTACCCTTGTAACTTGTGAGGGCCCTTATTGGAAGGCAGCTTATTTAGATGCATCATCTTCATAAGGGTCCCAAGGCAAACAACTGGTACAGTCTGAGTTCATTTATGATTCGAAGCTCTCTAAGTTTGAGACAAGTATATGGCTCTCAATACAGAGAAGCGCTCGACAGAAGGGAGAGGTGAAAGGAAACCGTGAAGAAGGAACTCGGATCTCACGCACATTGAGCTCTCACACAGAACAATGAGTCAGCGACCAAGCAAAGGGCGGAATCAACAAAGCGTTGATCAGACTTGCATGAGATATTGACAATATTGAATATTGAAGTATCTTGACGAAGCAGGCCCCAGAACTCGGCTTCGCTCGATCAAAACAACAACACAAATGTATGACATTTGAAACTGCCTGCACCCAAAAGTCTGAGATGTGACGAGTTTCTACTGTGGAAGCTGGCCACTTCTGCCATGCTTGCTTTGGATGCTGGTTGAGATCATTCAACAATAATCACATTCTCATGAAGTAATAGATGAACCGTGCATGTGTCCCCTCGGTTGTTGGCAGGATGGTTCAGGTTCACCCGACTTAGGATGTCCAAAGAGCCGATCACAAACTACTGTTTTGAAGACATCGTCTGCAGAAGAGGTGAGTTTGCTATTGGTAGATGAGACTATTGAATGATTCGAAGTACGTGTGTTCCTGCTATGAACGGAGTTCATCTACATGAATAGGAATACAAAGAAGAGGGGTTGGACGTCCTTCGGGACATCTGCAAGGAAGATGAGCAATAGCGAACTTCAGCAATCAAACAGCAGCATGCACATGTGACCAGATAGTCGTGACCTCGAACCAAAAGCAGAATTGCATCACGAGTTTCACCAAATAAGAGCACACCAAAAGCTCATAATTGACAATGCTGGAATAGTCTCATCATCATGAACGAAGAACCAATGTTGATATCCTATCTGGCGCTCGGCGCCCAGACTACAGATGGCAGATCCTATCTAGCCTACTCTACAATGCCGGTGATGACGTCAACAGGTCCCCGAAGTACGATCAGATCTCGGCCAAAGTCGTACGCTTCAAGCACCAGGTATGTCTCTCGTATCACTCACAACCTCGTTCCCCAACTCACAGATGCCACTTGCACCCATGCGCCCCATCCAGCATACAGCAGCGCAGCTCGGTTATGGCTGCCTGCTCCTTCCAGCTCACCCGTGAGCGCGTGAGCCTGGA